CTTCCAGAGAGGAAGGCTCAGAAGTTGTCCTAGAGGGCATCCACCGTTTCTCTTATTAGCTCACTCATTACATCCCTGGCTGAATTGTCCACCTGGTTCGTGTTGACCATTGACCTCAGGCTCCTGCTTCTTTGGCCACGTCCTGCTCATTCTGCCTCGGACTTGGCCCCGGTGCCTCTCTGGCTGCCTGCTGTCTTCTACTGATCGGTGGGCCTGCGATAATCTCCCACTGGAGCGTTCACATCTGTGCCACTTGTCTTCTCACCCCATTTTCTTTTCTTTTTTTTCCATTTTTGAGATTTTATTGGTTGTGTTGAGGATCAGTACAGACACTTCACTTTGTACACCATTTGTGACATGCATACCAGAAATCTAAAAAACTATGCATTGCTTCTTTTTCAGTTATTCCAGTGACTTTCCAACTTCAAGTTTGGAAACAAATTTTCCATAAGAGGATTAAGTACCTGTATTTCCGAATGCTGATAAAGTGTTACTTAAGTCCCACCTGTTCGCAGCTGTGTATCACATACACTACACACTCAGATTTTCTGTCTTTCACAGCACGTTAACAAAATTAGGCAATCTGGACTAGTACGACCAAAACAGATGTTACAGAGTGCACAGGATTCCGACAGGGCAACGGTCAGGAAGTAGTTTTCTTTAGGAAACAATTCTACTAAAAACAGCATGGGAATAGAAGTCATTTAAAATATCCAAGACATAGTAAGTGCACAACTGTGACTCCAAATTGCCATTCAGTATGCTTTACACTGCAGGATATAAAACTAACCCCCACCTGCAAAAGGTCATACCCAGGACAGTCAGAGCTTGCCACAACTCAGTATCCCACTATTTCTGGTTGTTCCAAAAAATAAACAACCAGCAAATGATTTCACCTCTTTAAAAAATCATTTGCACTTAAAAAATGCGATGGGGTGGGATGCCCTCCTTTTTAAAAATGTTTCTAGAGCTACTACAAAAAACTTGCATTTACAAAATAGTTGATAAAAATATTCCTTTGGATTGTACAAGAAGGGAGACAGGGAGCACTGGTAAGACCTGCCGGGTGACTAATCAGACTTGGCTTTCTTATCTTCTGTTTTATCAGAGGCTGCACTCTCCTTTTTCCGTAATCTTCCTTGAGTTCTTGATTAGCCACCTCGGCCTGTTTTCCTTTTGCTTGCACTTTCTTGTCAGAAGATTTATCCTGAAGAAAGCACCATGCTGTATAGCCATGTTGACTACCCTGCTGCTTAGTCCCTGGATATCATAATGAAGAGCTAAAAGGACCAATTTTGAGCTTACCATTTCATTTAGGTGTTTGAAGAACCTTTCCTGCTTTTTTTTTGGGCTTCGTTTCCACTTTTGCTGGAGCAGGTTTAGCTGACAACCTCGCCCTGACCTTGCTGATCTCCTCGTGGTCACCTTCCCTTTCGGCAGAGTTGAACTTCCTCTTGGGCATCTTGGTGGCGTGGGAGTTAGTGCGTGCGGAAGCTGCGGGTCCAGCTATGGGCCGAGGTGCCTGAGCTACACTGCTCTGCTGCTGCAGCAACTCCAGCCGCCAGAGCTGCTGGGACCCGCGGTGGGTGGGGCGGTGGGAGAACCCTCTCCCACCATTTTCCTGACAGCTCTTTGTAGATTCCAGGCTCATTTGATATTTATGTCTGCAGCTCATTGTTGTTCTGTTTGGTAGCATAGACCAATGGTGGCGAACCTTTTAGAGCTTTCAGTGATACAAACAGCCCACTGCATCACGCATGCCATAGGTTCACCACTATGGCCACAGACTAATAATAGAGTTTGGAGTTTAAGGACATCGAAAGTGTGGATTTACAGAGGATGTGCTCACTCATTAGACAGATCTGAGTGTTTTCTGTGTGCCCAGCGTGGTCCAGGTGTGGGCAATTCAATAGCAAGCAGCTCATAAAACCCTGTTCTCCTTGAGCTCACACGCTTTGTAGAAAACATCAAAAAACAGTGAAATTGAGGGGCTGAGGACTTAGCTCAGTGGTTCCGGAGCCTGCCTCGCAAGCACAAGGACCTGAGTTCCATCCCCGGTACCAAACAAACAGTGAACTTGGATTCAGGTGCTTCGTGGAAAAACTGAAACCTGGGTAAAGGCAGGGCCTGTGCCTCACAGGAGGGTCTATGTGCTCTCCCTGGGACCTGTTTTAAAGGTCAAAATAACCCGGTTACAGATGGCTTGGCTATCTCATCTTTACTGGGAAAAGCAGGAATAATCTTTAACATCTGTGCAACAGGAAAAATGGGATGCTCTTCATTGAGAGGGAGAAGAGACGGGAATAGGAAGATAAGGTGCTCTGTTTCAGACATTCTTAGTTTGAGATCCCTACAGTTGGTTATGTGTCAGGGGCATTTTATGTGCCCTTAGGTGCTAAATATTGGTTTTTAGGAAAATCGCATATGTCAAAAGGTGTTGAAACCTTCACGAAACTGATTTAGAGGAAAACACATAGTGTTCTTTGAGATATTCCATTTGCAGGGCCATGTAGAAAGTATCATCCAGCAAAACGCATAGTAGGGTTTTAACACCGCTGTCATTTATTTTGTTTGCCTCTGGAGCTGCAAAATGGGAACTTCCGAGAGCCCTGAATCGCCAGTGCAGCTGCTTCAGAGAAGGGGCGGGGAAAGGATGCTCTGGGCTCCGTGCTGGGCTTCCTGCTGTGGAGCTGTGGACAGTGGTGAAGCACCCACAGCCTGTGCCTGGGGACTCAGGAGGGCAGGGGAGAGCAGTGGGACTTCAATAACGTGTAGGGCTGTCGGTCAGCTTCCTGCTCCCGTAACTGATAACTGAGAAATCAGCCTATAGAGAAAAGGTTTATTTTGACTCAGATTTAGTTTGAAGGTTTCAGCCCTTGACTGCTTGGCCCCGTGGCTTGGGCCTGTGGTGGCACAGGTCATCGTGGCAGTAGCACGCAGCGTGCTTGTGTCACGGAACCGTGTGACTGACGGGAGGACGAGGCTGGGGCTCCATGGGGCACCCCCGTGGCCTAACCTCCTCCACTGGGGCCTTCCTCTTCAAGTTTCCACAACTCCCAGTATAGCGCACTGATGAGCCATCCTTTAACCCACAGGCCTTCAAGGGACGTTTAAGGTCCAAACCATAGCAAGACTGGTGTACGATCCCACGGAATGCTGTTCAGAGGAAACGGGAACGACCGTAGCTTTAAATTCTTGGCACTAGAACTTTAGTGGCTTCCAGATAGAGAAAGTTCACAGAAGGAAGCATTAGGACCACTCAGTTCTCATTCTTCTGCACATCAGGAATTTCTCTTTATCTTAACAGTAGGAACCGGGAACAAACTGCTTTTGTGGGCTGCAGTGAGTCACTGACATCCAGTGTGGCCTCAGCACTCCGTGTTATGGCTTGGACCGGGACCTTTGTGTTGTGGTCTGAGCACAGACCAGCCAGCTTTCCCTCTAAGCACGTGCATACTGTTTCTAGGGCTAAATTTGCTAATTAGAAAGCAGAGAAAACCTTCCCTTTCCAAATGGTTTTTCATGTGTTTAACCCCCCACTAAAGGTGCGAGGCACTTTCTTTCATAAAATATATTTTTAGGGTCATGTAAGTGAATACATAATAGTATTTATTAGGCTTGGCTTCTGGGAGTTCATTAAAAAAAGAGAACCAAGTATCTCTTTCATAAATACCAAGTGATTTAATAAGTTCAAGTAATAAATCATAGTTTAGCTTGATCTTGGCCAGTTACTTTAAAAAACATCAGGAGGGAGGGAGAAATGAGTGAAAAGGACCCTAAAAGTGGCAAAGAGGCAGAGAGAGTGAGAGAAAGGGCGAGGATTTATCAGCCTAGAGGCTTGTTAGCTTTTATTTCCTTCTCTGCGTGTACATATGGTGACTGTGACATTTGTGGGAATTGAGTATTTGAGTCCAGATCACAGAAAAGAGAGGCAGGATTGTATTCTAGGATTCTGGACTCGATCTGGTGTTCTTCACCACATTGAGAGAACACTATCAAGAGAACTTCTCAAATTCTTGGGGGAAAAAGAAAGCCTGCGTCAGTAACAATATTATCAAAACCTGAGAACTCTCCAGTAAACCCTTGTGTAAGAGTCTGTTGCTGTCTAGAATGGTGCTGTGACCTGTGACTTCGGTAGCGACTGTCTCCTCTGACCACTTTTTCTGTATCCCTTGAGCTGATGGCTTCCAGTGTTTGGAATTGCACATGACTGAGGTGTATTGAGTTTCTGTTGAACTGCATTCTAGATCACTGCCCAACATGATTTGGCACTTAACTTGTTCCAGACTGAATTCATTCAGTGGCTGTGTGTTGCATCTCTGTGGCACATCAGACAGTTTGGGGTTTCCCAGTAGTATGTGAGTAGTCACTGCTTTGAGTGGCTTAGAGGTCACTGCGTGTAGCAGAGTGAGACATGATGTTGCTGTAGTAAGGGTTGTGGAAGGAGATGGGAGGAAGAGAACTACTCTGGAAAGAAAGACAGCTGAGCAGGATGGACCGGGGGATGATGTGGGCGGTGGTCTGGAATTGTTGACTAGACTCTCCTCAGGGATAAATTAGAATTAAGCAGCCAGTTGACTTTCTCAAGCCACTTTTATTCCCTGATTGAAAGAAACTCCAGTCTGAAAAGATATCCGTTGATTCCATCTAGAAGGACTTGCTAGAAAATACTAGGCGAGGATCCACTGGAAGGGAAGGTCTCAGGTATTCAGGAGTTGTCTCAGATGCATCTGGGAAACCCACCCACGTTCAGCCTGGGCTGGCTAGGTGACAGCTTTCTGGAATCTTCGTGGGGAAGGACAGCAGAGGTGAGCTGACCAGTTCCTTTTATGATTGAGTGGATCGGAATTCCTGGAGTGGGGTGGCAGGGGCCCTGGGGTTAGCTGATAATATGGACACCCCTGCAGTGTGCTCTAGCCTTGGTGTGCTACAGAAAATCTCTCCCAAATCTGTTCTTTCTTAGTGCATGTGTTTACTTCCAAATCTTTTACTTTTAACAGGTGGCTAAACCCCTTGTTTAAAATTGGCCATAAACGGAGGTTGGAAGAAGATGATATGTACTCAGTGCTCCCACAAGATCGCTCCAAGTACCTCGGAGAAGAGCTGCAAGGGTAAGCATGAGGCAGGAGACAAGGGTGGGTGAGAACCAGAACTGCTGACGTGTGGCTGCTGGCAAGGCTCCTGAACCCTTAGCTTCCATCAGTCCCTCTGGACCCTGAACCTCCACACTCCATACCTCCTCTTGGGCTGCCCCTGGGCTGGCTTATCTCAGTGACCTGGGGGAACCAGTTTCCAGTGCCTCTGTAGAAGAGGAGGGGCTGGTGCTGAAGAGCTTGGGTCCTGAGGTTTGTCGAGTGGTGATCTCAGCAGGGCGGGTGTCTAGATGTTTCTGTCAGATCTGCCTTCTCAGGCTGCTAAGGCTGCTGTAAATCCAGTAAAGCTAGGTAGCGAGTGTTTTCCCAATCTTTTTCCCTTTAAGGCCACATACTGTCGCACGTCTTTCAGGAGCTCTGTGGACACAGGCCTGCGTTTGTGGGACAGCCTCAGAATGCCCTGTAGTAAATGCTTATCTGTTCATCTTCCACCTCCCCCCCATGTTCCCCATGGCATCATATTCTCTTTTTGATCCAGCTTTTGTCTCATTGTAGGTATTGGGACAGAGAAGTCTTAAGAGCCGAAAAGGATACACGCAAGCCTTCTTTAACAAAAGCAATCATAAAGTGTTATTGGAAATCTTACCTAGTTTTGGGAATTTTTACATTAATTGAGGTAAATGTTTTTATATGCAGTGGGTTGTTTTACAGTGCACATGGAATGGACAGGTGAGCTGTTGATCAGTAATGAAATGGACAGGACCGTATGGAGGAAGAGGCCAGATGGATTTGCAGGTGTGGTGAGGCTGGAGAATAAAACACGTCTAGGAAGCATGCTGTATTCAGCAGTTGTATTTGCCTTTGGAAGGGGTGAATACCTAAGGGACTGAAGCTCAAGGGCATTGTTAGTCTTTCTTTTAACATATTAAAGTCTAATGTTGTGCAAGATGGTACTGTTTTATACGATGCCTGGATAGTGTTGGTGCTTAGTGAACTTTATAAATGCAGAGCATCAACCTGGATCACAGAGGATCCAATAGCCCTGGGGTGATCTACCCTCTGGTTTGGAGAAAGTAACTTTGGATGGGTATCAGAAACTACAGAAGACATTTTAGCTGTGCTTGACAAATAACTGCTAAGCTAATCATGTCAGATCTGATACAGACTTCCCTGGAAGATATTGTGTCACCTCTTCCCTCTTAGGTACTCAGGACTTACAGTCCTGTTGGGCTGGCTGTGGTGCCCCAGGAGCCAGAGCTGGGCAGAGCTTCAGAGAGCTGCTCTTTCCTAGTGGGCCAGCGCCGAGACCCAGGTCCTGTCCACACAGGAGGTCCAGCTTTCTTGTGAATTTCCATGAAACTGGGCACTGGCCAATCCATTCTGGCTTCTAGTCCTCCTTGTTGGGGTAGATTGCTGGTTGGAAGTGGGGTTTTGGTAGCATAGCACTGCAGAGAGTGTAGAGGTGGACATTTAGTAGACAACAGAATGCCGAGAGGGCAGTGACCTCTGTTACCTGGAAGGGCTTCCTTGGGGTCCTCCAGTGAGATGACATTCTGCTGGGGGTGCCTGCTCTGGCCTGTGGGAGGGATGCTGAACATGTATTTCGCCAGGCGTCTTGTTCTCTCAGTGGTATCTTACAGCTGCCATAGGGACTTTGGGGTCCTCTGAGGGTAGGAAGGGAAGAAGGTGCAGTTCTACAAAAGGGTGGCTTTCAAAGCGGGGTTCAGAGAGGTGTCCCAAGTGCACCTGGAGGAGTGAGGCTGGTGACCCATCTGACCTGAAGTGAGATGGGAGGTGTGGCTCCTATGAAACATATTTTGTGGGTGGAGAAGGGCATTTCGGCAGCGGGAGGTGGGTTGCCAGCTCTGCCCTATGCAGCTCGAGAAAACTAGGGGGCACTGACATAGTGGCCACCTGGGATTCCTTGGGGATTGGCTGGTGCCAGCCAGAGTGCCAGAAGGTGAGGCCACTTGTCCCCACCGGAGACTGCCTTGGCCTTGTGCTGGGCAGGGTGGAGATGCAGACAGTGGGTCTGGCTGGGGCTGGGAGAGGATGCAGGAGTGTCTGAGGCTGCCCTGCCCATCTCTGACCTGTGCCGGATTTCTGCATGGCCACAGGGAATCTCAGTTTGAAATAAGTAGACCAGGAAGCTGGTGTCACTGTAGCCTGTGTATGTACAGTTTCCTGGCTAAATGTGGCCAAGCAGCCAGGTGAGCAGAGCTCTCTGGGATCCCACAGGTCAGAGCCCCAGAGCCTCAGGGTGTGCCTGAGGCCCACAGCAGGTATCTGGTGAAGTGTGCGCAGAGTGGCTTCACGTAGATAGCGGCTTGTCGCCTGGAGCAGGCCTTCGCCTGCTGCCATTTCCTAGTTACCCTTCATGCTTAAGAAATGAAAGACAGTTGGATGTTGGAAGTGGCCTGTGAGGTTGCATTTGGACTGAGCTTCCTGCTGCCCCGTTGTCACAGGCTGCTTGCTCCTTGGGTGAGATCACTAAGCCAGATGGTGGCTAGGTCCCATTTCAGATTGAATGCAGTCCTCCTGGGAAAGCTGTCATGAGATGCAGGCACAGAGGCAGAGGCTGGGTGAGAGAGGACAGGGCCTCTCTGGTGCCGGGAGCTCTGCTGTCACACTTGTAGGTGGTGGTGTGGGACTGGGGAGAAGTTAAGTTAATTTGGTTCCTCTTTTGGGAGGTTGGCTATTGGTCAGTCATGGCAGAAAAGGGGAGAAGTAGGTACCTGGCAAGCAAGGGGTTCATACTCAGTGGTAGCAGGAATAGCAATGGGGGCTTATGCTCAGGAGTAGTAGCAGCACCCTCAGTAGTAGTAGTAGCAGGAGCAGCAGCAGCAGTAGTACACAGTGGTCATACTCAGCGGCAGCTGTGGTGGGATTCATCACTAGTAGTAGCAGCACTAGAAGTAGCTGCAACAGCAGTATTAGTAGGGCTCATACCGAGAAGTAATAGTATTCTTCTAGTACTGGTACTCAGCAGTAGGGGCGGTATCAGTAGTACTGTTTATCAGTAGTACTGTTAGCAGCAGCAGCAGTATAGTAGTGATCTGTACTCAGTAGTAATAGCTACATAGTACGAGTATTTTTAGAAATAAGAGTAAGTGCTTGAATAATACCAGGAGCTGCTCTGAACACTGTGTTACTTTTCTTGCTTGGGCTGACTTGGTGAGGTGGGAGGCATTGTCCTTCTACTTTCAGGAGGACCCTGAGTGCCAAGGTGTTACGCAGTGTGCCTGGGGCCACCAGAGGGTCAGTGACGGCAGGGGGCGGGTGCTGTGACTTAGGAGCCCAGCCCTCCTAGACTCATAGGTCCTCAGGCCCTGCAGCACCCGTTTCTCAGGGTAATAAGGCAGATAGGTGCCGAGAGCTCCCTGGAGTGGTGGAGCTCGGCTGTGGGAAGTCAGATGAGAGATTGCCACGTAGGGAAGAGCTGCCTTGGTGAGCCTCGTTCTCAAACGTGAGTTCATGAGGACCCCATTCCGGCTCAGTGACGGGGTGACCAGGGGAGTCATGGTCCCGGGTGGCATCGGCAGACCTGAGTGCTGTGTCTTTCTTGAGTACATTTCCCTCTTGACCTCCGTGTCCTTTTTTCGGCTTTTTACAGTGTTGGGGATTGAACCCAGGGCCTCCCACAGGGGTGGCACGCATTCTGGTACTGAGCTCCATCTCCAGCCTCTCAGGACTTTCAGATAATAAGATAATCACAGCTCACACTCTTTTTGGTGCTGCGGTGCTGAGCATATCGTTCAGCTCTCTGCCACTCATCTGGTTGTCCCGGGGCTCCTCTGTGGTAGACTGATGTCCACAGCCACGGACATCCAGGCCCAGGAGGGCACAGGCCAGGCTTGTAAGCAGCAGACCAGATTTCGGATGCAAAACGTGCTGATGTCCAGATCCACAGTCCTGGCTGCCTGCCGCTGCCTTGTGCAGCCCTGACTCAGTGTGAGGAGCCGGATTTATGGTCCTGCCCTGCAGAGCTCCTTGGGCAGCGGCTTGGCATGAGGGCCACACCTTTGTGTGGTGTTTTCTTTGTGACGGTTTTAAAGAACATTTTCAAAGCACAATAACAGATGAGGATCAGAAGCTCCTCTCTTTCCCTAAGCCAGCTTCAGTAATTACCAGCTTACGACCAGGCTTGAGTCATCTGAAGCTCTGCTCATGCCAATTTGAAGCTGTTCCCAGAATCCCATCATATTAACTATGAGTGTTGTAGTGTGCAACTTTAAAAGATGGTCTTCCCCTAAAACGTCGTAATATAGTTGTCATGCACATACACATTAATACTTAAATATCATTAATATCTACCCAATACCTGCCCCTCTTTTTTCGGAACTGAAAGACAGAGACAGACAGAGAGAGAGACAGATTTGGACTTGCTGTGTTGCCCAGGCCGACCTTGAACCCCCAGGGCCCAAACTGTTCTGCTTCAGCCTCCTGCATAGCTGGGACGGTAGGCATTCATCGGTGTGCCTGCCTTTTATGTACTTTGCTTATTAATTTTCATGCTTCTGATTATCTTGCTTTCCGTGCACTTTGTCTCGCTATTCCAGCCAGGTGCCCAGGTTGCATTGGTTCCTTGTGTGCCTCCCTGTTTCTTCTCTCCTCTCCTTGTCTACCCACTTGGGTTGCATGTTCTGCAGAGAATTCCCGCAGTCTCGGGTGGGCCGATTGCGTCTTCCCTCCTGTGTCACTTAACGGATCCACCCCGCCCCGGGAGCTGGTAGTTAGATCTGGAAGCTCGATCTGAGCCGGGTTGATTTTGTTTCTCTGCCCTTTGGCAGATTTGCTTCATAGGTAGGGCTGTGCATCGCCACTACAAGGGGCCTGTGTGTGGTGGTTCTTTTTGTGTGTGTGAGGGTAGGAGCCATTCATGATCATTGCTTAAGATCCGTTAATTCACTACCGGGTTACAAAATGGCGATGTCCTAGTTATTTTCCCTTTCATTTATTTGCTAAAATATTTTCATAAAGAGAAACTTTGCTAGTCTCAACTTTTTGGTTACCTTGAGGTACAGTATGTATAGAAGAAATAGGGGAAATTTTTAATTTTGTCTCCTTAAAAAAACAGTTTTCAAGGTAATGAGTGGCACACTAGCATTCTCCTCTGGGGCTAATGAGTTTTTTGTTATTGTTTGCTTTGATGAGTATCTTTATGAGTTCATGGATTTAAACATCGCTCACTTGCTTCATCTGTTGTAGTTGTTATTTGCGTGCTGCGCTGTGGCTGGCTGTGGCTGTGGGAGCTTCTGTGGGTCGGGCCCAGGGTCTTCTGCACATACTCTAGCAGTCCTTGCGGGTTTCCTGTTTTCTGTCTTGGCACCATATTTTCAGATCAGCTTGTGCAGTTTGCACCCCAGCCGTGGAAATAGCTGTTTCCCCAAATCAGGATGACTCCCCGTCTTTTTTTCCACATATTTTGTCCACTGCATTAAAATATTCAGGTAGCATTATAAAGCTTGCATGTGCTTTTTTGGAAATACTGTGTACAGTTTTATCCTTTGCATGTAAACTTATTAAAGAGCCAAGTCCTATTTTAATTTGGTCCTTATTACCACAACGCAACATTTGAGCCAGCTCCTGGGGTTGGAGTGGATGGCTGGTTAGTAAGAGAAAACATGAGCTCGGAAAGGGACTCGGCCAGGTGAATAGCAGTTGGGAGCCCCCATAGGCAACTTCTTCCATCAAGGTCCATCTTGTAAGATTAGGTTGTTTTGGTACCGGGGATCGAACTCAGGATCTTGCACTTTCAAGGCAGGCAGCGGAACCACTGAGCCAAATCCCCGGCCCATGACTGACCCCTTTTAATGGCACATGGTACTTAGGTATAACAGTACCATAGTCTGAACGGTTTCTCAGCATTTGTAAGGGACAAAGATAGAAAGTATATATATTTTAAAGATAAACTTATCTCAACCCCTGAGTTTTATGGTTATTTCCAAATCATATTAAGTACTAGTATTTTTAATCTCTTTACTCTTTCATCTGTCTTTTCTTCTCTCATCTCTTCTATTTTTTCCTATGTCTTATGCCAATTCCCAATGATATTGTGATATTATTCATTTCATTTTATACTATCAACCCTATAGGCTATATATGATTTTCAAAAGCAATTTAAAACATTATTGTAGTTCATAAAGTACTTAGGGGAGGTATATCCCATAAGGAACATACCTTTAAATTATTTCATTTAAAACCATTTAAAGCCTGGCATGGTGGCACATGCCTGTAATCCCAGCACTCGGGAGGCTGAGGCAAGAGGATTGCTGTGAGTTCGAGACCAGCCTGGGCTATCTAGTGAGTTCCGAGTCAGTCTTGACTACATAGTGAGACTCTGTCTCAAAAAAGCAAAATGAAACAAACCATTCAAAAAATTTTTTTTTGGTACTAGGGATCAAACTTGGGTCCTTGTGCTTGTGAGGCAGGTAGTGGAACAACTGAGCTAAACCCCCAGTTCAAAACCACTTTTAATACCTTTTTTGGGGGTATAGTTATGTCAACAACTAAATGGTATATATTATATATATATATTCACACACATACATACATGTATTTGGGTATACTTTTGCTTCATTTCACTCTCAAGCTTTAATATTTGCTTTTTAAAATTTTAATTATGTTTTATAATTCTATATGATATTTTCATGGTTCCAAATTGAAATAGACTAAGGAGGTTATTTTAAAGAAGACTGTTGACCTTGCCCCCTCTACCCTGCTCCCTCCTTTTAGAGATAACTTTAAAAGCAAACATACTGGGTGTGGTGATGTGTGCCTATAATCCCAGCCACTGAAGCTGGGGGACTGCAAGTTCTAGGCCACCCTGCACAGTTTAGTGAGATCCTGTCTCAAAATAAAATAAAAGGAGTCGGGGACGTAGCTCAGTGCTGGAGCCCTTCAGTAGCATGGACAAGGCTCTGGCTTCAATCTCTAGGGCTACCAAAAATAATCATGATTCATTCTTTCATTCTGTATGCAGGCTTTTCTGCACATTGAATTTTCTCTTGTGTGTAGAACGATGTGTCTGTTTTGTGGTTGAAGGCTCGAGGTTCTGGGTTCCATTTTGTTTTGTTTTTGATGTATAATATTTAGTAGAAGCCCTGATTAAAACCTGCTGTGGTCACCGAAGGTCTGCACAGCAGGTCTTTGACTTCTCCTAGATGCAGGGTTGGGGCAGGACAGGACATCCATCTTTGGGGCTGGTTTCTGCGCACAGAACTTTTGGCTGGGGCAGCCATCAGTGGAATCTAAATCTGGGTTCCCAGTGAGCTCTTAAACCTCCTGGGATTCTCAGGTGCGGTCAGGCCCAAAGACCCTGATGCAGAGAGGACCTTATGGTGTCTCTGCGATCTTTCCCCAGCATCCTCATAGTCTCCCTCCTTTCTGGAGTTGTCCCCTGTTCCTCATTTCTAAAGTTAACTGCCCATTCATTCCCTGCAGAAGCCCATTTGTTTCTGTTCCATGCTTTGCTTTGCTAACGTCTCTATTTCCTGCATTTTCTTTGCTCTCACAGATCAAGTATGCTGGATTTGGGCAAGGAAGGTCTCAAGGGGGATTATGCAGGAGCCCTGCCCACTCAGCCCCATAGTAAGTTACTCTAAGAATGGGCTCCAAATGCAGATGTTTTTTAATTTTCTTTTTTTGCCAGTACTGGGGATTGAACCCAGTGCCTTTGTACTGAGCTACATTTCCAGCCTTTTTTTATTTTTTATTTTTGAGACCAGGTCTTGCTAAGTTGCCCAGGCTGGGCTTGAACTTGAAATCCTCTTGCCGCAGCCACCCAGGATACTGGAATTGCAGGTGTGCCTCTACCAGACTGCCAGGTTTTAAGGAGGCCAAGTACCAGATACTCTCTGAGAAGTATCTGCCTTCAGGTACAACAGTGCTTGGAGATCCTGGCAGAACCTGGAGGAGCTGTAGGTGTTGCAGGTTCATGCTGGACTCTTACAAGTCCCATGTGGTTTCACAGTTGAGAATTCTTGTAGAGGAATAAACTATATTCTTAGTTGGTTTATAGAAAGACTCTTCTGTAGGATACAGACTGGTGCCTAAGATGGAGGATTGTTGTGACTTTTGATCTTTTCCAGGATAATCCAGAACGTTTGAATTTGGTCAGTCACAAGTTTGATGATGAGCATTGTCCCACTTGTTTTATTTATTCATTGAGGGTTAGGGAGCATAAGTATGGGCCACAGACTCCTTACTCATTAACAGGCCCGGTTTCTGGACTGCATTGCTAAATGCTATCTCCCAGCAGGAAAATGGAGATAGGTGATAGTGATTTGCCTTCCTTTTATACCTGTTTTCTCTGTTATTTGTTACGTCTGTCTTTATTTTCTTACTACCCATGTGAGGAGAGCTGTGTAACTGGAAGTGGTGATTCCCAATTCCAGGGGGTGTTTTGGCAAGTTCAGAATGGCCGAGCTGCTGGGGGGTACCAGCCCCAGGTGACACGTGACTGGCCCATTGTCGAGCTGGCACTGACCTCCTTGTGTAAGCTTGACCTCTTTGCCTCTCTGGGCACTGTAGAATTTCATCTGAGCACGTTCTGAAACTGTCTGAGTGACCCTGTGTCTGTCAGAGGCTCTTCCTAAACTCCTGGCAACTCTTGAGATGAATGATGGGGTGTGCCGGAAATGGACAGAGCCTCTGCATGCTGGTATCTGGTCATCTCACTTATTATTCCGCTCCAGAACAGCCTTGTCTTACCTGTGTACAGATAAAAACGTCATGACCTCCCGGAAGCCAATGAGGTTAGTGAGTCTGCATGTATGCGTGAGATACAGCAGATACACAGGGTGCAAGTCAGTGTCAGGGCCCATTTCAGAGATGAGCATCTGTAAATACCCTTCCTGAGCACGAGTTGCTTGGAAAGAAATTGCTGTTAGCTTTGCTTCCTTTCAGCTCTCCCCGCACCTTCCCTCCCTCTCTCTTGTGTGCGGCTTCCTCCCTTCGTATAGACAGAAAGAAAACAGCTGTCAGTAGCAAGCCTGTTGGTTCCGCCATGTCTGTGTTGATAAGGGCAGGTTGCTTCAAAGCAAAAGCTTGTTTCCAAGTCAAGTTCTTGAAGGATTTACAGACTTTTGGCATTTTGTCTCCCTCGAAGTCAGGAGGGAGTGATGTGGAGAGCCTGTGTGTTCACTTTTGGTGGCTGGGTTCACAGTGAGCGATTTTCTTTGATGGAAGTACCTGACCAGGGTTGGGAGGGAGGTCGCAGGTGCTGGGGCAAAGTGGCTGTCTGGCAGGCAGAGACCTGGGAAAAAGTCAGGGATGCCCAAGTGCTGTTGTGGTGTTGCTCTGCCTTCAACCTTGGGGAAGAGATTTCTTTCCCCCTGTATCTTGTTCAGAGGGGGTGGAACCTTAGAAGCTGCACCCCTGGGACTCAGTGCTGGGGATGTTGTAAGCCTGGAGCCCCTGCTCCTGGCTCTGCCATGGGTGGAGTTTGGGCTGGGAAGAATTGGCAGGTTCTTTTTTCTGATCTGTGAGGGTTCCATATCTCTGTTGATAAAGGCTCAGCTAGTGGGAAGAGATGGCTGAGCCTCCCTTGTATCCCTGTAGACCTGGACAGTGAGAATTCCGAGGAAACAGGCAGGTCATCAGCTGGGCTGTCCAGGTGAAGCAAATATTACCATTCTCCTCTTTGGCTGCTTTTTTCCTTATTCATTCTAGACCAAGACTTATTTGGTAGATTGCAAAATGTGTTTTAAACCCTGGTTGTAATAATTTTTGAGCATCCAGAGTGTACCAAATACAGCGTCCTATAACTTTATTGTCCTTGAGCTTATAGTTTTCTTTAGGTTAAAACTACCATCTGTTTTAAAGGGGAAAACAGTCCTGTGTTTCTTTTACATTTATGTTGAATGTCACACTTCATCATAAATGCCTTTTTAAGGTGCTAATAAAAGTGCAGCCTGTGTTGAGAAAAAGACTAATGAATACTTCTTTTTTCTTCTTTTAGGAAGGCACCAAAGTAATCCAGCCCTTATTTTTGGGGAAAGTTATTAGTTATTTTGAAAATCATGATCCCACTGATTCTGTGGCCTTGTACAGAGCGTACGGGTACGCCTCGGTGCTGACTTTCTGCACGCTGTTTCTGGCCATACTGCACCATTTATACTTTTACCACGTTCAGTGTGCGGGGATGAGGTTGCGGGTAGCCATGTGCCACATGATTTATCGGAAGGTAAGTGACTTCAGCCTGAGAGTGTGTATTTCACCAGAAGCATCAGGAGCACTCTGGGAAAGTTGCATGTAAATTGAGTTATGTAACTAGAACCTTTTTTTTATTAGTATGTGTTTTGCAGTGTGTAATGTTTACGTTCCTTGTGTGCATTTGGTTCACGTACACAACACATCTTCATTCCTTCTTCCACCCTCCCTCTGTCTCTTGATCTTCTTTCCCATAGAGAAAGATCTGTCTCCCTACTTCCTATTATTTTTTACTTTGGTCTTTATTTATAATTTGGGTCCCTCATGTAAGAGAAAACATGCATTCTTTAACCTTGTTTGTTTGATTCATTTCAGTTAACACTGTAGTCTCAGGGTTCATCCTACAAATAACTCAAGTTTATCCTTCTTTATGTCAGAGCAGTGCTCCCCTGTGCAGATACCACACTTTCTTTATCCACTCATCTGTTGATGGATATGTAGGCTGTTAGGAATTGTGCTGCTACGAACAAGGGTATGTAGCTCACTGTAAACTGAATCATTTAAGCCATACTGGAGAAGTATTTGCATAATGAAATTAGTTAAAAAGTAAATGCCAGGTTGATTTTATAGTCTTTTTTTTTGTTATTTGAGACAAGGTCTCACTATGTAGTTGAAACTGACCTGGAACTCACTATGTAGCACAGGCTGGTCTCAAACTCACAGTGATCCTTCTGCCTCAGTCTCCCTCCCGAGTGATTTTATGGTCTTTTCATAGCAAAGTCTCATATTTATGGGAAAACTTTTTAATTAAAACTTTAATTGATTAAAAACCCAAAGTAATCATAGAATTAATAAACATACAAAAGTGAACATTAATGAAATCCGATTTATAAAATTAAATCTAGGAGAGAAATGAATTTGAAGAAGAAATTATATTTTTAATTATGTTTGATGTAATTTTGTCTTCTAAAGAAAAATATAATTGCAATCTATGTCAAACAAAGCCTTTCGTTAAAGAGCTAAAGCTAGTTGTTGTTTTTAATGGTATTTAAGGAAGGGGTTGAATGTTTGGGATGCTACTTTTAATTTTAGATTAATTTAGTAATTTGAGAGAATTTACAGTTTTTCATGTTGTTTGTCATTTAGATTAAGTTTTCATAACTCATTTCCTTTCCTTTTACTGTAGCTATAATGCTAAGGCTTGATTTGTTTTGCTTTTTTGGTCAATAAATGCCATAAAATGCCCTGTAGTTTGCCCTGATCTTAACGGTTACACAGGCACTAGAGTTTCAGGTATTATCCTTAAAAAGGAGTTGCTGCAGAGCTAATGTGTGTCAGAAGATGAAGAACTCTTTGTAAACTCCATCCTGGATCTCTCTTTTTCCTGTCTGTATGTATTTCTATTTAGAAAATTTTGAAAAGTCATTACAGATAAAGCTCAAGATCAAACAATCTATAGGATTGCTTGTTTTACCTCCCTCGACTTATCCAGAGCTTCTGTTTATTGTGGATCATTTTCTTGGCTGATATTTTCTTCCTGTTCCCCTTTGAGCAGTCTTTTTTTTTTGTGCCTGGGGAACTTGGGACCTTGGGCTTGTGAGGCAGGGAGCGGAACCACTGAGCTAAATCGCTGGCCCTTGAGCAGTCTTTATTAGTCTTCTTGGGGTCACGTGGCATCTTATGACTGGTGGCAGCTATGGTAAAATACACCCAGTTTCCTTGTCTGTCACATGGAAATGCTGAAAGTGTCTGTACACTTTAAAAGGGGCCTTGGATTTGTCACCGTTAGTCTGTTGCTTTCTCTTCTACCTTTTGGAAGGATACTTAGGTTTCTCTATACATTGAGCAGTTTTGTCTTTCTAGATCAGTGATGGTGAATGTTTTATTAGAGACTGAGTGCCCAGGCTGCAACCCAAAACCCACTTGCTTATCCAAAGTCCCCACACTACAATTAAACCTGAGGTTTTAGTTTAGAAAAAATAACTCATACAATAACGTCTTTTGTCTTGAAAGACAAACACAATACACGTGCTGTAGGTTTGCACCACTGTTGTGGATCCTACTTAATCCCACTGAGTAGGAAACTTCATGAACCCTCCACTGTAGACACACCTGTCACTCGAGTCAGGTGTGAGGTGTCAGTTCTATCAAACAAAGCCTTGTACAGGTGAGTAGTTGGTCCCCTGTTTTTCTTCCTGTTTTCCACTGACGCCTGAGCCTTGGGGAAAGCTGATCTAGCTCGGCAGATTTGCTTACCAGAATGTAAACATTTCCCCAAGGTATTAATTTGCCAGTTTGATTTCCCTGAAAGAATTGACTCTTTACAAAGTCAAAATTGCTTGGGTTAAAGCATAGACTTAACCTGAAATTTCAGTAATGTGGGAAAGATGACTTCCTCTTGCCTGCCTTGTATCTGAAAACCTGCCAAGGTAAAGAAACAGGACATGGGCGTGCTGCTTTGTCAGAGCAGAGTCGGTGCTGTGGTGCAGCTCCGAAGGCTTCTTGAAAGGCTCCAGCCTCACCGTCTGATCCCTGGTCCCGGGAGAAGCCAGCTTGGGTGTCATCAGTGGAATGGCCACTGTCATCGTAGTTTGTGGTGTTCAATGATCCTGTGGGACGTGTCATATATAACATGGCTTTTTTTTCCACAGCTTTGATACTAATTAGTTTTGACTACTTTCTTTCTTTCTTTTTTTTTTTTTTTTTGGTACTGGGATTGAACTCGGGACTTTGTGCTTGCAAGGCAGGCCACCAAACCGCTGAGCTAAATCCCCGGCCCTCAAATTGGTTTTGACTTATGATCATTATTTTTGTATTGTGGTAAAATAGTCACAACATAAAATTTTCCTTTTGCGTTTCTAATCGTACAGTCCAGTGACATTAAATACATTCACATTGCTCTGCGTCCATCTCCAGCATCCACCACCGGAATCCCTCCATCTTCCCAAGCTGTGACTCTGTACTCATTAAACGAGGACTCCACATTCTCTTCTTCAGACAGTCTTTGCCATTCTGCTTCCTGTTGATGACTGACTGCTGTCGATTCCTCTTGCCAGTGGAGTCATACGGTCTTTGTCCCTTTCTGGGTGGATTATTCCATGTCGCACGGAGCCTTCGGGGTTTATCATGTTGTAGCGCATGTCACAGTTTAATTTCTTTGCAAACCGAGTAATACGTGATGTGTAGATATGCCGCGTTTTGCTTTCCTTTCATCTGTTGATGGGCATTTAGGGGGTTGTTTCTGTCTTTGAACCGTTGTGAGCTGTGCTGCTGTGAACGGGAGTGCACAGGTATCTGTTTGAGTCCCTATGTTCATTTCTTTTGGATATATGCCCAGAACTGGAATTGTTGGATCACGTGGTAGTGATTCTGGCTTTAATTGTGTGTGTGTGTGTGTGTGTGTGTGTGTGTGTGTGTGCAGAACTGCTGTACAGTTTGCTGCAGCAGTTGTACCGTTTTATATTCCTTCTTAATCACTGATTTTTCTGTTTAATTTAAAGACTGAGGAGAAGTGTCGATGAACTATGACCGTCTCTTACTTGGATTGGCGGTGTCAGTGGTGGTCTCTTAAAATGGCAGAGGTCTTTGAAGGGGTAAAAGTTGCAGTTAGGTAGTCAGAGTCTTGAAAGGGATCACAAAGGCAGTCAGTGCCGGGACATGGGAAGCTCCTTAAGCATTATTTTTATTTTTATTTTTTGGCTTACTATTGTTCTTCCAAATATTTGGGGGGGGAAATATCCCAAATCCCATCATCCTAAAACAACGACCATTGTATTTACAGATTCCCTAACGATCTTTGTCCACCAGCATTGTTTTATGCAGTTGCAGTCTTTTCATGCACAGAGAGTACATGTTGCCATTATGTTGACTTTACTCTTGGCACCTTGCTGGTGTCGCTGATAGTCCTTCACAGGGACTGTATGTGTCTGTGTTGGGTAGGAGTGGGGTGGAAGGTGTCGTCCTGGCCTTTGATGTACACGGTGCACATCCTTGGCCTGTTTTGAGCTGCTTATACCAAATGTTATCCTCAGATGAGCTTTTTGTTGTTATTCTTTACAGGGGTTGTTTGGGAGGGCAGTGCCTCCTGTTGCTCCAGGGACAAGGACAACAGGAGTGGTGCCCCCTGGAGGCAGACTGCGTAGCACCCAGTTAGTAGGTGTTCGCTACTAATAGCCTCAAACAAAGCAAATCAGTTACAACTGCTTGCTTTGCAAAAATTCCCCACAAGATTAAAACAGAAATTCTTGCGCATACCAAAAGTTAATGTACCTAGTAAAGCATTCGTGTCTTGGATGTGTGAAATGCCATTTAATAGCAACAGCCCTGTTTTTGTAGAACTAAGATGCTGTTTCTTTTGACTATGTAGTCAGTTTAAGAGAGTAGTTTATCTACATAACAGGCACATACTGTAAGTGTTTGAGTTTGACATGCGCAGGTCCAGGCATACTTCTCACCGGTGTTGCTCAGAATGTCCCTTTCTGCCGGTTCCATCTTCCCTTCCCATCCTTGCTCTAGACCACAGCTGATGAAAGCTCTGTCATCACAGATGCACTTTGTTACTTCCAGAAACTCACAACTGGAATTACACAGTATGTAGCTTTGGACTAGCTTCTCCTCCTTACAAGAGTGTTTGAGATTATCCTATCCTGTCATGTGGGTGAATAGCTAGTTTTTAATTGCCGATTCTAGAGTTTCTTCATATGACAACATCCCCGTTTATGCATTTAGTCAGTGTTGGAGTTTTGGCTCTTTTCTAGGTCTTGGTGGTTAGAAGCAAAACTGCTAAGAGTAGTCATGTGTACATCTTTTGGTGGAGACAGGTTTTTATTTCTTTTAAATAGAAACCTAGGAGTATGGTTTGTGGGGCATATCATGAATATATTCAACTTGAGAAGAAATTGTTGTATGACTTCTCTAAGTGTCTGTAGTACGTTAAATACTTAATGTAGTGTGTCATTTTGGTGTTAATTTTCACTTCATCCATGACTCGTGATGTTGTGTCTCTGTGTTTCTTTGCTGTACGTGTTTCTTTTT